TGCCTACGTTTAATGTCAAATAATGGATACATATTTGTTATGACCCTTGGTTACATTAAAAGATAACAGAAGCGAAAGGAACGATAAAGTGAAAGAGGCCAGGGAGGGACTGACATGCGAGGTAGCAGAAATCTAAAGACAGTTAAACATACGCGCATTATACATACATGCCTCATGAATGTGTGGATGATACCACATGTGTACGTACGTAAGTGTATATGTTTGCAACTATTTGTACTCGTATGTATGGGTATATGTGCTTCGTTTTTGTTTGATGTGTGTGTGTATGTGGCTCGTTTGTTGTACAATTTTCAGTAACAGTTTCAAACCTACACGTCATAATTTCATCCATTTCACTTCGGTTGATTTTTTTTCACTTTGAAGTATTTTGACGTTCCTTGAGGAAAAGTAATTTTTGTTAGGTGTTTTTTTTTTTTTAATTTTAGTTTTTCTTTTGTTTTTCTGATTTCTCAATGTTTATTTTCATTATGGTTTTAAATGTTTAGGTTGACAGGGGTCTGCATATGTAATTTTCCTTAATTTTTTATTAATGGCCTTCGTCCGGCCCCCGGGGTCGAATGAGTTGCTGACCCCTGCTCTACATCTTGGTATTCTTTGCGAAGTTGTAAGTTTGATTTTGTCGTGCAGGACATTATGTGCAACGGATTTTGGGAACGTGAAATATATTGGTTAAACATATGTTTTGTTATGCAAATTTAAATGTATTTAATAATGTTGTCATATTATTGCATTGGTTATTTTTCACTAACTTAATAGTTTGAATATAATATGCAAGTCCGTTTAATATACGCAGATTTATGTCAGAATGTGTATCGAAAACAATTATTGTATTTTCTATTAACATGCCTTAAAAAAACATAAAAAAGGCCCTAGCTTAAGAACACCATGTCTAGTTTTAATGAATATAGGACCGCACGAGGCAGGGTTTCAAGATATAATACGCTTTTCAATTTGGTGGGATATTATGCATCATCTAAATTGTATCTCGGGAAAAATTCTTACAAGATTAGAGTTTTAGTATTGCATGAGACCAACCATACCCGTTGGGTTTTCTTTTAAAAGCAGTTCATGATACAAAATAAGCAGATAATATTATCAAATATATTATTTATTACATATATTTTAATTTGTATTTGCAATACAAGTAATTTTAATAATTCTTCTTATTCACTTTATACAATATGACTACGATCAAAAGCAATAAGAAATTAATCAGCATGTGTTTACTTTTGAAAAAGTAATTGTAAACTTATATCAAACTAAAGGCCTTTCCATTCAAGTAATAGTAGCCCCTGGGTGACAATGCATACCAATTTTAGTATTTACCATAGTATAATTTTATGTGAAGGTCATTACAAAACACCAAAACAAACAGCAAACCGTCTGCTTACGGACATTCATATTTATTGAAATAACTAAGTACAGATACTTTCTTTTTGTTCACTCAGTTTCATTTTTTCTAAGTAATTTTTTTCAAAATAATAATTACATTTTTGTTATATGTTATATAGGAATAAAATGTCGCTGCTGACATTTGAGTTTGAACATAGATCGCCAGTGATCAAACATTGGCGATCCCATTATTGAATTAAGTAGACCACTTGGCCATATATGGGAGGAAGCGTGTTTTTAATTGATTTTTCATTTCTATCCTATCCTCTATTACTATAAGTAATGCTATTCTTTACTCTATTCAATATACTATTCCTCTATTCGGATCACTATACGGATTACTATTCGAGCGAGTATTATCGAGCAAGTACTATTAATGCGAATGATATTCGAAGGCGTCTGACACCAGTATTTTTCAACGGCTTACTATTGTTGTATCTGCGATTACAAAGCCTCTACTACAACGATCATTACGAAAGTGACAACGAGTATTCGTTGATATCAAAAAAGTGTCAATGAGTGTTCGTTGACATCACAAAATTATATGTGCTTATTTACTTTTCGCATTTATTACAAAACGGCTATACTATTTCTGGTACCACAAAAATGGATAATTTACATATACGGCTGTACAGTATCTCGACGGATCTAGTTTTCGATATTCCTAGACTATTCTCGAAAAGAAGAAAGGCAATTTCATAACACGAGGCCCTGGGAAGCGAAATGATTTTTAAAAGATTCTCTCTAGCAGATCTAGTTTGCTACACCGGGTTAAAACTATTGAGATCAGTTAAAAGAGATAGCGGGTAGATGTACGAATTCAATACCTTGAATCACCGCTTTAAAAAAAAAAAAAAAACGAAGACTATTTCGACACTAGATTTAAATTGCGACTAAGTTTCAATATTTTCAAATAATTCTTCGCTAAATGAAGATCGAGATGTAATCAGAAGTCGAATATTTTTGCTCGGATCCTCCATCAGAGAGATGACAAACTCTCTAGGAAACCAATCCTAATCCAACAGTCATGTCATCGTTAATATTTCCCCCCTGCGTCTCTCTCATATAACGGAATATCCTTGCTGCGATTCTCAGGTGTTGATACTGCGCTTAACAAAATTGGTAGAGTATCAGGCTCTAAGGAACGTTAATTTGCGTAGATCAGGTTACACAAACCTCTTCAGTAGGACCGGTTCCTGTGTAAGGATTTCCCAGCATGGGAGATTATATCTCACCCACTTCTACAATAGTTTCAAGGATGATATTAGGCAGTTCAACAGCAAAAATGTGGCTGGAATCCGGCCAGAGTCATGACGACCTCTGAGAATCGATGGTCAACCCGGACAAATATGATGAACTGATCTAAACTTATCAGCGCGGTTTTTCCTTGGTTTTCATTATGATCCTAATCACTAAACTGTGACTTATCTTGAATCCTACTACCTTTCATAGTATAAATAAGTTCATTTACTATTAAGGGAATCCAACACATCCTAAGCGTTTGACCAAAATGTGTTTAACATATTTAAGGGAGAGAAATTACTGATTCCGCCACCAAAATATTTCTACTTCACAACAACTTCATTGCAAAATTACTGTATCTTTGCGAAATAATCCCATTTCCACCTCATGTTGAAGATCAATGCTCAGAACAAGACAAACTTGCGCGGCAGACTTGAATAAATTTCGTTTGGCTATCGAGTCTTCATGGGAGTGTTGTCTGTGCTGTATTTATGGGAGTGTGGTATGTACTGTATTTATGGGAGTGTGGTCTGTACTGTATTTATGGGAGTGTTGTACGTGTTGTATTTATGGTAGTGTTGTCCACGTTGTCATCTTTTAACACTTCTCAGATTTCATCTTCTGTAATGGGAAATTCAACCTAATAGTAGCCATTTTCCCGCAGTGAGTAAACTAAACTAAATAGACGTCGAGCAAAGAGACATTCAGACCGTTCTCCATAGGATTAAGTTTCTGCTAGTAGTGAGACGCTTCATTAGAGATAACATCGTTTGAAAATAGCAACGATAATCTTTAAGGAATAATAAGATATTCAAAACCTCACTTTAACTCTGATTTGGCCTATGAGTCTAATCCTGGACAAAATATCAATTTGGGTCGAAATTTAGACCAAAATTCCAATTCAATCTTAAAACTGAGTTCTTCAAAACCTCAAAAAACTCTCACTTTAATTCTGATTCCTTGACCTTTGGAAGAAATAAGATTGATTTCCTCAATTGAGGAAAAAATTGGAGATATTATAAACTGAATTAAAAAAAAAAAAAAGAATTCACAAAGTGTTTGTGTTACTTTAAACTCAATATATATTAAAAACTTTTAAAATCACTAATGTTTGAAATTTTAACTCTTCCCTCATCATCCGGACACTGGATGTTCAAGAACCAAATGAAGGCAAATTTCCATCCCCGGGATCATCACGATTCCAAAAAGCTATAATATGTCTATGTAGATCAAGTGAGGTCTGAGTTATAGACGTTTCAGTCACATTGACGGACAGACAGAATCTGCAGTTTATTTATTTAGATTATATTCTTTGCCCTACCAAACATTTTTTTTGTACTGTAGCTCTAAGTAGCAAAACCTGGTCGTTCTTATCAGGCCAAGATGTCATATCCGCCTTATCTATTGCTAATTCCCCAATATCCCGCAATTTGAATGTCCCCTTTATTCTAGCTTCCTGTTTCTTTTCTGCCACCAATCAGAGTCGGGACTATAGTAGGAAGTAAAAGACCTAATTGTTCTCCTGAAATTATCCAACTACCACAAGCCCCGATAAGTCCTATTATCAATTGGTTTTGAAATCTTTCACATCCAATAAAATGCGTGTTAAATTTTAAGTAACCTATCATTTTTTCGAATCAAACATTAATTCAAACTCTGTCAATGTAACTTGAGATGTGCGACGAATCGGGACAGCACCTATATCTGTCCAAGGCCATTCTACTCGTTTCAGATATTCATTTCAAAATTGATCCATCAAATAAATTTTAGTGGTAAATTCCCGAAATATTTTCAAATTTAAAAGCAAGTTCATACACTTTACATAAACTCCAAAGTCGAGATTGGAATCAAGGACGGCATTATGAAGCAGAGGAAGGACAATAGGAAAATGAAGGTGGTAACATAGATAGATAGATAGATAGATAGATAGATAGATAGATAGATAGATAGATATAGACTTTAATAGATAGATAGATAGATAATAGATAGATAGATAGATAGATAGATAGATAGATATGAACAGACTTTAATAGATAGATAGATAGATAGATAGATATGAACAGACTTTAATAGATAGATAGATAGATAGATAGATAGATAGATAGATAGATAGATAGATATGAAAAAAACTTTAACAGATGGATAGATAGATGGACTTTAACAGATAGATAGATAGATATGAACAGACTTTAATAGATTAAATAGATAGATAGATATGAACATACTTTAATAGATAGATAGATAGATAGATAGATAGATAGATATGAACAGACTTTAATAGATAGATAGATAGTTAATGAAAAGAGCGAGAAAGATAGATGCATACGTACATACATTTAACAGACTTAGATAGATAGATAGATAGATAGATAGATAGATAGATAGATAGATAGATATGAAAAAACTTTAACAGATGGATAGATAGATATGAACAGACTTTAATAGATACATAAATAGATAGATAGATATGAACATACTTTAATTAATAGATAGATAGATAGATAGATAGATAGATAGATAGAGCTTTAATAGATAGATAGTTAATGAAAAGAGCGAGAAAGATAGATGCATACGTACATACATTTAACAGACTTAGATAGATAGATAGATAGATAGATAGATAGATAGATAGATATAAACAGAAAGACAGAAAGAAGATTGTTTGAAATAGATTGATAGATAGATATGAACACACTTTAATAGATAGATAGATAGATATGAATAGGTTTTAATAGATATATAGATAGATATGAACAGACTTTCATAGATAGATACAGATAAATAGATAGATAGATAGATAGATAGACATAAACAGACTTTTAGATAGATAGATAGATAGATAGATAGATAGATAGATAGATAGATAGATATGAACAGACTTTAATAGATAGATAGATAGTTAATGAAAAGAGCGAGAAAGATAGATGCATACGTACATACATTTAACAGACTTAGATAGATAGATAGATAGATAGATAGATAGATAGATAGATAGATAGATAGATAGATTTAAAGATGGAAAGAGAGAAAGAAAGACTTTGTTAGATACATAAATAGATAGATAGATATGAACACATAGATAGATAGATAGATAGATAGATAGATAGATATGAATAGACTTTTAGATAGATAGATAGATAGAAAGAGCGAGAAAAATAGATGCATACGTACATACATTTAACAGACTTAGATAGATAGATAGATAGATAGATAGATAGATAGATAGATAGATATAAACAGAAAGACAGAAAGAAGATTGTTTGAAATAGATTGATAGATGAACAGACTTTTAATAGATAGATAGAGAATAGGATAGATAGATAGATAGACATAAACAGACTTTAGTAGATAGATAGATAGATAGATAGACAGATAGATAGATAGATAGATAGATAGATAGATAGATATAAACAGACTTTAGTAGATAGATAGATAGATAGATAGATAGATAGATAGATAGATAGATAGATAGACGCAAAAATTGTGCGGAAAGTGTCTCAGCACAAAAAAGAAAGGATTGACAATTTCAATTTGGTAAGATATTTCGAAATAAATCTGGTTGAAAACTTTTCTCTGTTACCAGATGAGTCAGTGAGAGGGTAGGCCTTCTCACTTCATGTGAAGTATATGGTTATAGTCTCCCTCGCTGTTTTTCTTTCAATGGTGATGTCGCAAGACACAAACCCAAATATAATTTCATTCTTCTTCTAGTCTGGTTGCCAACCAAGGATTGCAAAAAACTAGACTGAATTTCTAATTAACCAATAGCTTGGGAAAACGAACAAGATTCATAACTCGCCCAAGGTTATTTGTGTGAAAGTGAAGATAACCACCTCTATCAAAATTTGAACCCGGCATGCCGATATTATTTCAAACGCTGAGAACCACTATGCTACGCGAATATCCGCGCTTAAAGATGAATGCAATTTGTTTTTACGAGTGCAATGCAATTATAAAAGTATTTAAATGTAAAATGTGTGTGAACGCGCGCGCGAGAGAGAGAGAGAGAGAGAGAGAGAAATGCCCATCCCCAAATGAGCATTCCCAACCAGCACCGACCGATTTGTTCCATTTAAAATGTTTGGACTTCACAACTTATATTTGCCAGCCCACAACAATGTGTTTTGTTCAACATGAACATCCTGAGCTGCTCGTAATATCAACAGTGACTATAAAGAGTGTCAGAAGAAATAATGGGATCTCTTTTTTAAAGTGCCAAAGATTATTCGTGACAATATTTAGAGGGTTTTACATTTATTTTAAATATGGCTACCTTTTTAGATACCTAATTAGATACATAGATAGATAGATAGATAGATAGATAGAAAATGAGAGAATGAGCGTCATAACTATCAATTTGATGGTATCCATAACTATATACCTACTAGCATGGACTACCTGGCGTTGCCCGCGTGTCAAATATTTTGATCGTCCCCAGCAAGGTTTTGGTTGTTAAGCAGACTAAACCTTTTTTCTTGGAGGAACAGTAGAAACAATCGTCTACCAATTTTCATCCGGGACTCATTTTTAAAATGGATATGAGATTACTACAGAGCCCTTGAATTTTCAATGTTTGATGTTTTGCCCCTTGGAGGCAAGATGTAGAGTGATTCTTCCGATCGTACCCTAGAAAATCCTACATAAAACTGCCCATGGCTAAAAGAAGGGGAAGTTAGGTTCAGACCAACAACTACCAGTGATGCCTGTGATTGTCCTTAGGACTTATTCATAGTCACGCGGAAACACACTCTAAATGGGAATTGAGGTATTCAAATTCTATTGTAGAATTTGAAGGAATAAGAGGTATTCTAGGAATAAGTTCTACTTTTCCTCTTCAACTTAGTATGACAGTTTATATGACGTCAGGTTGTATGGGTTTGACGTAGAGTCTTGTTATGCTACATCATCTTGGAGCATCAAAATTCCGGAGCAATATAATAGTGCATCTAACATTTAGGCTTAACTTTTGTGTTGGTATTCCAGACAATTCTAAGGAATTTAAAACTTCTGTAGGGCATTGGTCAGCCTGTTCATTATCCAAAGTTGAATCCACCGAATAATTTTTTTCCTCACCTGAGCAGTTGTTGATTGATAACATACACAAAGTATTTCTCAAGTGCTAGCATTGCTCTCTCAATTAGCCATTAATAATTCACATAGTTTTCTGCTATATTTTGGTACACATTGTTCCTCAATTCTTTAATTGAAGAAACAATTGATGTTAATCCTGAAGGAATTAGAATGCTGTCACGGTCGTTCTTAGCTAGCTTTCCATCTCCTATTCTCAGTACTAGAGATACAAACGCACCAGCCATTTGCTTTATATTAAGACAGGGCCTCATGTTAGTATTTAACGTTACTGTCTTGATGTATTTACACAAATATAATAAATTAATCCAACTGTTGAGTTCGTCAGCGGGGTTTCCATGTGGAACAGCTGGTAGTGATTGTCAGAAGTCACCTGGAAATAAAAACGGAATACCACCCATCAATACATGTCATCTCTTGAGATCACGCAATATATTATCTTGAACTTCAAATGCTTTTTTTTTATGTTCCACTAGCAGCCATACCCAGCTGGTTGATCAGAAAAAGCGTTCAATTAGAGTCTTGCTGCCTTGCATAATCTTGGAGCATCAAGATTTCAGAGCAACATAATAGGGCATCCAATTTTTAGGCTTGACTTGTGTGTTGGCATACCAGGAAATTCTAAGGAATTTAATTCTTCTTTAGGGCATTGTTCAGCCTGTACATCATCCATTGAATTCACAGAATAGATTTTTCTCTCACCTGGAATTTCATTAAGCAGTTGTTGATTGATAACATGCACCACATCGTTTTTAGGTGCTAGCATTGCTCTCTCAATTAGCCATTCATAACACACATAGTTTTCTGCTATATTTTGGTACATATTGTTCCTCAGTTCTTCAATTGAAAAAACAATTGATGCTAATACTGGAGGAATGACAATATTATCATGGTCGCTCTTAGCAATCTTGTCATTTCCTATTCTCTGTAGTAGAGATGCAAACTCACCAGCCATTAGGTCGTTATTAGGTTAGGCTCTCATGTTAGTATTAAATGTTAGTCTTGATGTCTTTCCACAACTATGATAATTTAATGCAATTGATGAGTTCGTCAGCGGGGTTACCATTAGGAACACCTGGAAGTGATTGTCGAAAGTTACCTGATAATAAAAGCGTCATGCCACCCATCAATGAATCTCATCTCTTGAGACCACACAATGTTTTATCTAGAGCTTCAAATGCTTTTTTTATGTGTCATTGTACATTCATCTCTTACAGTCAATGAACAATTCTGTAAAGCTTTAGCAGAATCTGATCCACTGTGAATTTGACAAATTGGATTAACGTCTCTGGTTAAGGACAATGGTAATTTAAATGACGAATGTGTTGTTCTACCATCAGGAAGGAAAATGGCTGCAATACCAGAGGAAGCTATGGCCACAGCCACTTAACATTCTGATCTCACTTTGTCAATAATCAAATTAGTAACAACTGTCTTTCCTGTACCTCCTGGTGCATCAAGGAATATTAGACCATCTTGCTGGTTTTTTACAAAACCAATTACGTCATGATACATATATCTAAGATCATTATTGACTTGTCTTAGACCATCATGAACAATTTCTTCTCGCTAATGTGCCTAATAACTAATTTCATGCATCCATGCATTATTGACAGCTTGTATATAAGTTTGATCTGGTGAGTCAAGACCCAAGTTCATAAGAGTTTTGCCATTAATAAGAGAAGTGATATCTTCGATATCAATCATAGCCATATTGTAGATGACATAGGAAATCTGTATATCGACTCCAGGATATTTGTTACGTTCATGGTGAAGAAAATCATCGCTTAAGAATTATTTTTGTGCATCCCAAAGTCGTTTTGGATCTGACACTGCACAAGTAGTTAACATGATGGCAAGCAACTGTCTCCGTTTACTTAGCGATTCCGATATAGATGATTCCTGTAATGTTGCATTCTACTGGTTATCATATGCAAGGAGCCCATGAGTAACACATACATCCCTGAAAGTGTTCTTAATATAACCGTGGATACTTTTCAGATCATTAAAGCTCTGTTGTCCTCTCCCCCAATGTAGAAGAAGTCTCAAGCAAAAGCATTCAAATAGATTTGGAATCACTCTGTACACCCTGTCCAAAACGTCAGCATTTTGTATGCCCTGGTAGCTTAGAACTGGTTTCACTTGTACTCGTCTTTTGAAGACGTTATTTTTAGTGTCTCATGTGTAATAATCTGTAAATTCAACACCCAAATGTGTTCTTTGAACATCATCAATTCCACACACTGTGAAGAAAGCCATCAGAGTTGTTGATCGTGCATTTGCAGTTCTATCTACGGCATTACTTTGACTAAAGTATATCCTCTGTCCATTATCTAGAAGGACTGACATTTGAATAACATGGTGAGCATTTATCTGGAAGTTAAGTATTCTTCAAATAGCTTGATTGATTGCTATATATCGAACAGTTTCATATTTCTTAACTTCATCGTGATAAGTCCTCTCAATTGTGATGACAGCTTGCTTACTTTCTTTATTTACAAATGTATTTAAACAATGAAAAGTGCTTTTAAACAATAAAAATATGCCGGAGTACACGCCCGTCTCTTTTGCTTATTAACTGAAGATAACAGTTTTCTACTCGGGAAAATATTTATACTCATCCTTTATCCTGCAACAAATTGCCATACTTGTTTTCAACTTGTAAAATTATTCGTAATAGATATTTTAATAACACTATTATAAACCATCTTTCTTTTAAGTGATAATATAAACAAAGATACGTGAGTTATTTATTTACAGAAAAACGCAACATATATACTGTTAATTTTTTAAATAGCCTGTGGAAAGTAAATCAATCATCAAAGAAATCAAAGCGAAATCATATTTTAAACAATAAATAAAAGTAAGCAGTTGTATCTGTCTATATTTCTGAGATGACGTATTATGTACATTATTTACATAATTCGGACTATTGCCTTCATCTTTGTCGCACAGTGGATAAAGGTGTTAGTTAGATCCAGTGACAGGACCCAAAGAGTATGAGTTCAATACCCGGTTAAGTCAGTGGAGAACTTTCAGCGGGTAATTAACAGGCGATAACTGATAACTGACATCCATTAAACATGGCACGTGAAACTAGAACAGTCTACCCCAGTGAGCAAAATGAACGGTTCAGTTCGACATTCCAACCACCTGAAGAAGACCGTAGCGTACCAACGTCCGAAACGTTGTAATAAATATGGCAATAAAGATCAGGACAATAGTCCGAATAATGTAAATAATGTAAACAATTGTACGTTGTGGATGTTCAACTTGAAAACATCATCGAGCGAGTAGAGATTTTTTTATCTTCATTTTCTAGATCAGTCCATGTCGAATTCAACTTGGAAAACCGCTATTCCAATGTGAAAGGATTGATGGCGTGCGATTTTCTTTAATTTATTGTGAATTAAAAGAAGACTTACATTAAGTAAAATGCTACTAACCTTCCGTTTTATAAGTGGAGGGAAAAGTAAGATTCGTTTAAAAATCTAATCGATCGCATTTTCAAAATATTTTTAAAGAATTAAAATTAATTCAAAGATTTCATTGAGATGCTATTCAGGGTTCCATTTGCTGGACTGCACGTAAATATCTACAAATATCCGAAATCTGTTTTTTTTTTTATTTATGGTCGAGGCACATTGTAATCTTGGTAAGAAAAATATCCACGCTTTTGAATAACACGCGCTGGTTAGAGACAAATCAATAAAAGAAATCAATAGACGTTCAGATGACTTAATGCTTTTCGTGAATCTTATAGATATTATACAATCTGTAAATTCGTTGACATTAAATATTTTCCGTTTAGATTTTGCATTATTTAACAGATTTTTTGAATCTCCTGAATCGAAGTGAAATTTATTATCTTTCTTACATTAAGTAAACAAGACTCCTTATTCAGATCGCAATACATTGGACGCCATTTTGAAATCAAGAAAGAGTCATTGATAT